ACACAACAAAATTCAGGCCAAATGCAGAATCTCCCCTTTCTTTTGAAGTTGTCAAGAAAAAACTTAGTTTTTATTCATGAAGCGCCATCTAAATGCGAAATGAACAAGTAGTGGAAAGCTTATGACAGGTACGTGATTGTTTACGTCGATTTGTAGTAAATTCCAGAGATATCCTGAATTATTCATTATTTTAATGAAAATATAGTATTTATATAATAAAAAAATGGACCAAGCCATGGATCTATTCATAGCTTAGTCTACACTGGATGGTAAGGTAACTTTTCACTACTTTCTTAAAACTAATCACTTTTTTACAATGAAGAAGAATAAGCAGAGTAATACGGAATTAATATATCGCTTGGACGCATCAAAAATTGCTCTGGATATGGATAATGTTAGTTCTGGTTCAAAAATTTGTTCATTTCAATATAGGAAAGTTGATTATTACCTTTCCAAGTAATAATTATTTAAATAATTTCTAGAAATATTATATTTCTGATACTGATTTTTATTTCTGTACTATTAAGTTATTTAAAGCTTTTATAAATTTTTCCAAATGTTGAAACTAAAAGAAAATAATTTTAAAAAATATTATACCAACTTTATCTATACTAAATGATCCTTAAATCACTATACATACAATAAATGCATCGTTCAAAATGACAACCATACAAATATTAAACATATTATACAAATGCTGTCGTCAAAGAAGAAATAGAATAAGCATCAGTTAAATCTGAACTGTTTGAAGAAATACCAAGCAATGGATACATAGATTTTTTCAATATTGAAAATACTCATCAGCAAAATATAAAAATAAATGTTTACTAGATAATTCCAACGATACAAGTATTGTTAAATGTTTCTCTATATGATGCAGTGCACGTGAAATCATGTAGTGTTAAAATTTGTAAACATGCTGAGATTCAAGTAGATGCCTTGAATTTATCTTTAGAGTTTAGAATTGAAGTGATAGTCACTTAAATATTTTTATAGATATATAATCTTGTAAAGTTTTAGGTACTGTTAAAAGTGTTAAAAATTAATTTGGAGATAAGTATGGTAGTGAAATGAAAAAATGTGCTAAAATGAAACATGATTTATCATAGTTTTTTAATAATAATGTTAAAAAAATGTTACATTCATCCTGTCCTCAAATATATAGTGATATGAATAAAATATTCCACAAATGCTTTAAATGTACATTTGCAAAGGACTGCAAAAGTCTTTTTCATAAATATTCATAAGTACTGCCTTCATATTGAAGTATTTGAATTTAGAAAAGCATAAAGTGTTGTCTAATGATAAATAATTTTTTTTCTAATACAGCGTATAAAACATTATTTATGTTAATGATTTTTTATAGTAAATTGTAAAAATTTTTACTTATTTATAAATGTTGAAATAAATATTTTATCAAATTATTGTCTTAAAATTGTGACATATTTTATTCAACATTAATGAGAGGGGAAAAAATGTATATGTTGTAGAAAAGGTGTTAATTAAAAATTGCTTATACTTCAAAAAATAACAAATTATATGTACATTCTACTTAAGAATGTTATAATTCAAACTAGTTTGTTATTTAAAAAGTTTTTTCGGTGTTTTTAAAAATTTTTATAAGATACTTACGCAAGCAGTTGAGTTCCGCAGGATTTCCGTAATGAGCTTCTTTACACTTCTCACATTTCCAGCCTTCCGTATTTCCGCGACACTCAAGACATTGGCCGGTTTCTTGATCACAGGGGCCGCCGTAACACGGGCACGGTTCGCATTTTTTCCCTGGTATAAGAGGATTACCGAAAAAGCCAATGTCGCATCTAAATAAAAATTAAAAAATAAGCGTTTTTCAATCAAATGAGACAAAAAATATAATCACGAGTTCACGATAGAATAATTATATTTTTCTCAAATTAATTCAGTAAAAAATTTTGCGATATAAATATTTTCGACGAAATGGATATTATATAAGAATTAACACTTACGCTTCACAGTGATCACCAGTGTATCCATCAGGGCACTGCGTGCAGACGTAACCGTTGGCTGAATGATTGAGATCATCTATTTGACAACTTGGACTAAAGTTATTTGTTGAAATTTCTAATGGACAAGCACATTTTAAACAGTCATCAGGTGATCCTCTTGTAGCATCACCGTAATAACCGACTGCACAACGATCACATTTGGTCCAACCGTGGAATGCTCGCAATTCTATTAATAACAATTATTATGAAAAAGTGCCTGAACTTCCTACGCATTTTATTAATCAATCTGTGATGTATATGATGGAAAATATCACTTTTACATTTAGTTTTACCTTTTGAAATCGTGTTTTTAAGCTAAAAATTACTAAATTTTGATATTTTTTGAAGTAGATAAAAAAAATTCTAAACTATAATATTTTTATTGGTATGAATTTTTTATGAACTATTCAAATTTTGTACTCGTAGCGTCATCTGTTGAAACGACGGGGTCATAACTGTATCAACTCGAGATAAGTCTTTGTATAGACGAATCCCTTCAGTACCGACACTTGTAGGGTAAAAGCACTAGTAATCGGTTATATGGTACAGCGACTTTACCAAGTGAGCAAAAGAATTTGTTCAAAATGTTTTTTTTAAACAAATTAAATAATAAAGGCAAACCTTTTTTAGAATGTTTATTGTTTATAAATAAAATGCTCAACTCTTATTTTTACGAAAAACTTTTTATGGAATCGAGGATAAGAACAGACACTATTCACAGCAATTTGAAACTTTTCTCTTTTCTGTCTCTATTTTTATGAAAATAAGAATTTAGGGCGCTTTATTTATGTGCTATAAATGTGTCCAAAGTAATTTATTTGTTTAAAAGAGAACCTGATAAAACTTTTGTAATTGTATTCTGTATAGGAGGAAAATTTGAAGTTAAAGAAAAAACAATATTTCGCTAGTAATTTAAAATTTAAGCTATCCCGGTTAAACTCTTGACTAAGCTTCGTGATAATGCTCGACCTATTTTAATCTAGAATTTTATGACTTTGATGAATAAAAAAAACAAAGTTCAATAAATCGTTAAATTATTTTAATATTTAAAGTCAACGTCTAGTAGTGAAAGGCCGACTATCCTTTACCCTATAAATACATTAAAGAATATCGTTCAAAAAACATAATTATTCCAAGTTTTGCTTTCATTATAAAATTTACTATTTTAACTTCATATCGTTTTGCAATTGCATTGATTTTAATGAATCCGTTAAAGCCATGTGATAAATAAATCTATTGATTGCGCGTTAAATGGAAAAATGTTATTTAATAATTGAAAATTAAGAAAAACTTATCGACGTAGAGAGACATATGAGCTGCACTTACGTTGCATTCACCCATGATGAGGTTGCACGAAGCTGCATGACCGTTGCAATCGCATTTAACGCACTTGTGGCGGATGCGGTGATCTGATGAATTTATTGGAACTTTGACATATCCCCAGTCACATGATTCGCACGACAGCCCTGTATATCCGAGGGGACACGAGCACGTTTCGACAATGCTTTTTTTGCCGTACTCCAGAGATATTTCACCGACTGGCAAAATTACGGACTTTAAACTGAAAGAACGAGTATTTATGATAAAAACAACCGTATGAACGAGTAAATGAATTGTGAAATCCCGGATGTCATGTTATTTATTCGTTGGTCGCTCTAAGCCCAGTGCTTTTTGATGGGAATCGTGCGTTGAACTAATAGCGGTCGTACGCTGAATTTCATTGACATGCCGTACCGAGCGCGCACTAACTGGCGCAGAAAAACAAAGCAAGAGATTCGTAGTCCAAAAATAAGCTCACCTCCCCTCGATCTGATCGGTATGATACTGTGCCCTGATCAACACGCAATCGAGATCGGCTAGAATTTCGAGCATCTGATGGCGCGTGACCGGGTCACCTCGGTAATCCGTCCTGCGGAATCGTGTTACGCCGTCGACAATTTCGTCTCGAATTTTGTACGTGGAACCAGCCCTGCTCTTGCAGCATCACCGTCACCTCGGCCTCTTGGCCCTCGTGGATCTCCTCGCCGTAAGCAATGCGCACGCCATTTTTACCCTAAAATCATGTTTTTTTTTAAATACGACTTGTCACATATCTTCGTTTCTATTTCACTTATTTATGCGTTCCCGTGAAGCGACATTACTTCACATGCCGCAGCAATACGTCAAGATCTAACGGCTAGAGATGCAATCTTCGGGAACAAAATGAGGTAACTTACAATCAGAACGACATCTGGCTCGGAAGTCGGGGCGCCGCTGGTGTCGCCTCGCATAATTATCCAACTGACTAGGAAAGTGAGATTGCTTCCGTAGGAAGAGAGATGATTTCCGGTATAAATTTTGGGTGAGAGCCAGTAAGGGCTTCGATATTCTACTTCGAAAGCAGCTATCGTGGGCCAGCCGCTTTCCCCTTGCAAACTCGGCGACACCGCTCGTGACGCGTTTATGTCACTCACTTGCCACCCCTCTAACGTTGAGACCTATAAATTAGCAATGTGTCATCGATGTTGCTCCACGCAGGAATATTTCGATCTAAGAGTCTTGATTTCTTTATGAATTTATAGCTCTGTACTTCTACAATTTTTACGATAACATATTTATTACAAAATGAAAGGAACTTTCACTTTTTAAAGTAACTTGTAAAACAATTGACATAACTTTAGTCTTAAAAATATTAAAAATATTTATATTATGTGCGCACTTGTCTAATAATTATCTTGATTGAAATATGTACAAATCAAGCGAAGCATCCAATTCCACAGTGAAGCTTATGACGTAATAAGGCATATTCAATGACATAGATATGGCAACAAGAAGAAAGTTCAAGTTCAAGCCTACACTAAACTATAATTATATTAATCTGTATAAATTTATCTTGTAATGTGTGAACTATGACTTCTTCAAATATTTCAATTGCGTACGACAATCATTTTTATTGATGTTTAGACGTCTTGAGAATGCTATTTCTTACTTGTATTGTAATACTAGCTAAACACACTACATTCTATTTCAGCTTAACTTTATTAATTTCTTCATAAAAATGCGGTTCATTTTCAAGTTATTGGTTATATTTGCACTTATACAGTGCATCGTCTACGTAAAAGCTGTATTCTCTATAAAAGGTATAAAAATTTATACGTATCTTGTTTTATATAAACAGTGTAGAATATTCTACTTTGTCTTACGAAAGTTAAGATAACTTAAGTCACTTGAATAATTATCTTTAATTTTCACAGATGAGAATAAAAACACTGATCAACAAGATAAATCTGGTACACCTAGGTGAGTTTCAGGAATTTAATAACGCAGTTATTCAAATGAAACCAATTTAAATATAATTTAAAAAAATTTATAGCTCCGATATAGCCGAACATTCAAGAGATTCGCCAGTTATTCGCTTGGGTTGAATTTCGGTCTAAAGTGCATAGCGGATGAGAAATATTAAATATTTTAGAATTCGCATATGAACCAATTAACTTACTTTTAAAAAAAGATACATTTTTATGTAATAATTAAAAGCTTACTTATATCTAGGATTATAGAATAATTATCTAAAAGAAATCTCTCGCCAAATATACGTATTCTAAACGCAAAGTTTTTATTCATTTAGCAAAAAAAGACGCGTCTTTAACAAAAGTCCGTCAACTCTAAAGAATCACGAACGCGCAAGTGTTCTTACGATCCGCTCCTAATATTGATAGCGATGATCTTAATCCCTCGCACTATTCAAATTTACACTACTGTCGTTAATACCCGTCGAGGGGGATGCGACAATAAATAATGATAAAAAAAAGGTTTACACTAGCATTCCCAACATTATAAATGTAAGAAAGTAAAACAAATAAACTTTTAATTGTAATAATTCAAGCACTCTAATAATTAAAAATTGAAATATTTTTCGAAATTTTTTTTAAAATATTAGAAAAGGCTAACATTTTTCTTCAATTCCAAATCTATTAGCCATATTAACTGTGTCCAAGATTAAAAAATAGCAACAAGGATGAAATTATATGGTTAAATATAATCTTGCTGTTTGTATTGAATTCGAAGAAATTCTATTTTACGAATGTGAAGTTTTTCATAAAATCATCGCAATTGATGTTGTGAGATTTGCAATTCGTATGAAAAAGTTACAAAGTTCAAGAGTAGATCAAACTGAATATATATGCATTAATATATATGTATTTCTGTGTTGTACATTTTCACTTTTTCACTAAATCAAGATATATGTGCAGTTATCATTATTTGTCGATAGTTAAATACTCGATAATATGCTTTTCACAGTCAATGAAGTAGAAATGCGCGTTCCTTTCAATTTTCGGTGAATTAAAATTATATCATGATTTTCGCGCAAACATGCAATTAATTTTACATTTCATATTTGTATTTATCGCAAAGTATGCTGTATTCGGAAACCCATTAAATGATAATAATACATCCTACTCAAAGTAAATAAATATTATCAAAGCTTCTTTCCATTGCTATACTATCGGTCTTACTATATTTTATTTTTTATTTATTTTATAATGTCTTAATATATTTTATCTCGATCAACATTAAAACATTTCATTTACAACTGTTGCAGTTTTAATTAAACTTTACATCCGAAATTATCACATCAGTATTTGGCTTTGGTTACATATTGTTTATTCAAGACATTAAAATATAATAAATTAATGTATTTCAAAAATTATTATGAATAAACTGTGAATTAAGTACATTAACATAAAAAAGACCATCCAATGTTAAACAGTGAAAATGGAAGGTTTTCTGTTTTTCCCATAAAAAAATTATTCTAATTAAGATGTCATCATAAATTTTTGTCCTTAACCTTTAGAGGACCGGAAAACTGATATGAATTTTGTATATAGTTGATACATGACACCAATTTTGCCATTTTTCAAGAACGATTTCAACTTTCAAATCCCAGCCGTCTAAAGGTTAAAGGACTGGAAATAAACTTGAATTGACTTGGTTACAAGTTCTAAAATCTCTTATATACGTCACAAAAATATAAATCACAAAATTATGAAATATAATAAGATTTTTGAACTGGCGACCAAGAAAATCAAAGAAATTTAACATCAAGTAAGTTGCATGAGAATACCTTAATTGAACAATTTTTACGGGTCTACAAAAAAAAACCGAAATTTCGTTGTGTAATACCGGCTATTCCTTTAAGCACAATGATTATTTAATTTTGCAATTATTAAAATTTTGAAATTCTCGAGACCTAAACAAAATATATTCAATCGACCTCGTTGTCGTACGAGTTGCTCTAATAAGTATCGAATCAACAGAAAGCAATGTCGCCTGCTTACTTAATATATCGCAATAAACAATATGAAACTAAGAAAAAAGTATCTTATGAAACGTCTCTTGGTGATCTAAATACGTAATTTTCCATGTACTGTTGGCAAAAAATAAGGCAATCAACTGGCATTTCCTCCGTGAAGAATGACTATTGCAATAAATACCCATATGGCTGTTGGACAATTAATGTCCTAGTACAGTTGAATAGAGAATTGCAGGATAAACGATCGTTCATGCAAGTGCGTTAAACTCAATCTGTTTACGTTGCCATTCTAATCTGGTTGTAGTGTGATCTACGATGTGAAGCGATGAGCTATTTTACGCGCAGAGGATGCCGTTTCATAGCTGGAGGAGCCGGTGGATAGTGTTACCTTAGTGATTTTCTATTTGACTTTATTCGTTTAACAGCTCTTAGATGCTATGTGAATATTTGTGCAACGTGTTTTTTAATTCGATTATTAAGATTGAACTGATTTGATCGAAGCGGTCCGCAACTCATCATTAATGCACATATATGTTTTGATATAACGAAAACTCAAATTTGGACGCGAGTTGCATTGAAATAAAAAAGCTGCGGGCAGAGGTAAATAAAATGACTCACCATACTGTACTTGAGCTTAGCATTCGTACAGATGCTGGAAAGTCCGGAACAATAGCAAGAGAGGCATCCGTCGAGGTTGTCTCGCGAGAGCGAGAAGTAGCCGGACTTGCAGCGGTCGCAGAACTCACCCTCGACGTGTGCTTTGCACAAGCACTCGCCCTCGCAGTCGTGCGACGGTAAAATGCCACGAGCGTCGCACGGACAGGGTACGCAGTCGGGAAACTGCCTGTAGCCGGCCGCACACTGATCGCACCTGTAACCCGAGTAGCCGGGCTTGCATTCACAGGAGCCTGCCACCTGAATAGATCCTCGTTTTAGTCTCTATACTTCTCAGCAGTTGCTATTACTTTTACAAATCTTATAATACTGCTGTGTCAAGCAGTTTTTCATCGTACGAATGAATTTTAATATGCACGAATAATTGTGCAGGCGCCTGTTTCATGACATTCCATACTAAGCATCGCAGAAATCTGCCGGTTGCAATATTACGAAATAATATTACGAAAATTAGATGCAATGTTTCTTCAATTATATTATGCACGACGTTTTTAGTTTTTGGTGAGATTATAAATTGTGACACTCATTATGTTTATAATTACGAGATTGCGAATTGAGCAAGATATTACGAAAAAATTGACAGAGAGCAATAACAATAAATACACGAATATAATTACTTTTCCCAAGCTGTTGTATGAGTCATCCGGCATGCAGAGTCCAGTGCTTCCTCGAACGTGGCAATCGCACGGTATACAGGGTTCAGGGTCAATAGGTAAAACTCCATTCGGTCGATAATAACCAGCTTCGCATTTTTCACAATTTATCCCCGTTGTATGATCCTGAATATCAATGCAATGATGTTTAATAAGCGAAAATAATGGAAGAAAAGTTTGCTTTATCGATAAATTTACCAAGCAGTTAAGGCATACACCGCCACCTCTGTACTTTCCTCGGATATCCATCGACTGTTTCATCTCTGCGACTTGGTGGTCGTATCGACAAGACGTCGCGTGTCCATTGCAATTACACTTTTCGCAATGGGAACCTTTGCCCGAGGTACCGGGCTTCCATGGCACCTGATTGTACATTGGACAGCATTTATCACACGATTCTCCACACGTGTGTCGTTCGCATTCACATTCTTGACGCTGTGTGTAAACAATGCCATTAATTGAATTACATTACTCTGGCTATTAAAATTACTTATACATGAAAAGCTAACGTACTAACATTTCATTCTACAGCAAATAATGCGTTATCTTTATTTATGTAAGAAAAACTTTTATTTAATTATAATTAAGTCGTTATACTTGTTTTGTAATAAAAAAATCTTGATCGAAGCCATTTTTTACGATACGCGCGTATCGTAAACCAAATACAAAAGAAAGCAACTAGAAAGTTTTTAAAGCCCCTTCCGACCCAATTTCATAAATGCTGAATTATAAACGTGACTCCGATATACGGATTTTTTGGTGAGCCCAAGCTCATTTTGTGCGTGGTCTCGGGGCGTAACGCACTTAATTATCCCAGCTATAAATAACGCGAGAGAGTATCACGAAAAGGATATTGGAAAACGCGAGTGTTCAAGGCGTTGACAGAGGACCACACGCAGCCTTTTTGTTTATCGATGGAAGGTTCGTTAAAGCGCAGGCCTTTTGCAGGCGCTGATTATTCACGTTCTTCCGCGGCTTATATTCGCGCGCGCAAAAACCAGTAAAACAGACTTGCTTTCAGATTTTACTAGCCGGCTGAGTTGTTTACGGGCGTAATTCATATCTCGCCATCTGTTGCTTTTTGGCGCCTCTGGAAAATTCTTGATACTCATTTCTCTGATACCGCAACAGTTATTAAACTGACTTGCAAATTATTTTTCTTTTCGCCGCAAGCACCGCGATACAGTTTTATTCGACGATAGTTCTTTCTAAACGAAGTGGAATTGTGTCAAAACTCGCGGAAGCATAAAAGTAATGGCATCAAAATACAATGAGAACTGTTGAACTCCCGACAATTACGCAATTTTCACGGCCGACATTGACTGCCCTCGTACATTCTCTCTGTTTTACAGTCAAAGACAGGAGTCGGCCAAATAACGCTTTACACGCGCAATTTCTGCATCCGCGGTAAAGTCAGAACAAAAAAAAAGTCCGTCGGTGTCGTTTATATACAGCTTGCGGCTCGTTGCGAAATTCCGCACCGGGTGAGGCCATTAGTCAGCTTGTCCGTTATACGGCCAACACTATGCGCTCCCCTCCCCCACCCCCCTTCGTATAAGGAAGTATGCGAGTCAGAGAGAGAGAGAGAAAAAACAAACGAAGAAAATAGAAAAGAGACGGATTCGCTGCCATAGATGCCGGTATATTACGTACAATAAACGCGCCCTTGAGCTGCTGAACGGAAGGAGCGCGACAAGTATACGCGAGCGGTAATTGGCTACCTCCACCTGGACAATTCCCCGGCAATTGTTTCCTAACCTCAGCTTTTTGCTTTCACTCGATAAACGCGTTCTATTTCTTTTTTCCAAAGACCTTTGGCATTTTACGTCTCTACTGTCGTTTATCTTTACGAGGATCTATTATGGCGAAGAGAATGTATAATGATGCAATGAAATTATCACGTTCTTTTAAAGCTTTGTTCCTGCTGACCGCAGCTGTTCATTCAATTTACAATTGCATTATTGAATAAAGTTTTGTTCTTCCATCACGAAAAGACGTATTGGCTGCTTTTCACGCTATTATATCTATTGAGAAGCTATTCAAGGAATAGATAATCGACAAGACTCCGTAGCAAAGCCACAAAACTTGTATACGCATAATGCCCATTTTCGGAGGCTATAAAGTGCAGGCTCTTGCATGTTTATTGGCACGCGTGAGTCCGCACGCATGAACCGAGGAGAAAGTCTGCTAAGGACAATGCTGATTAAATGCCGATGGGCGAGTAGATTTTGCGCTTTGGCTTCGGAACCCTTCAAAGCTTAGCTCGGCCAACGCGCGAGTGCAAAACTGCGTTTTACGGCATTCGTCGTGCTATGCGAAGCAATTCGAATACGATGGAATCCCGTGCGAACGTATCTGTATTTAGTATTGTGTTTTATCAATGTCTATACAGTTATGTAATATTGAGTTCTCGGCGTTGTCTTGCGAGTTGTACTTTGAGATTGGCTACCGTAATAAAACATACGAGAAACTCGTTGCGTAATTAAGCCAAAAATCAATACCTACCCGCCGTGACGGGTTGAATTTGCATCGAGAAGCATGCCCGGAGCAGACGCACCTTCCGCCAATGTTAATCTCTCGCATCGAATAGAACGCCCTTCGTTTGTCCACGATGGTCTCGCCTCTCCGCCGCAGACTTTGAAAGCGCAGCCTGACGTAGCGAGCTTGGGTGAAATCTTGGATCGCCTGCGTGTGATTCAGTGCACCTGGACGACCATTTACGAGCTGAGTGTGAATCTGTTAAAAGAAGCGTATGTACGTCGTAAATAAGTTTTGCGCGTTTGTCGTCACTGGTTGTTTCTTAACGACGGGCAAGTCCAATTGAAATTCAATCGGGACAATTATCATAAAGTTCACAGAAGCGAGCGGAATACTCGCTCGAAAGCTCGAGCTGTTATCGTAAAACCGAAAGTGGGAATGTAATAAAAGACAATTGATTGCTGTCGGGCAGCATTCGATTCCTAATACGGCGGATGCTGCCCGACGCTATTATGCTAATGGCGACATCAAAGCACGTGCAATTAAGCATATACTCAAATCGGATTTCTTCGATCGACTCGGCTGGCCATAATGAAACCTGCAGAGGCATCTAATCGCATTAGAGGCTAAATCGCGTTCAATTAAAAAAGCGCTTTGAGAAATTCCAGTAACGGGGAGATCGCGAAGATCGTCGAGCGTCAAAGTGAACGAGCTTAAAGCTCGTTCCAAGCGAGGCGCGACAGCTCGAATTATCAGCATTCTATAAGGACGATTTGAGAGCGATGCAATTGGGCCGTCGAGTGCGCGCGCGTTCGCGCGGTCGCGCGCGCGGCTTCGCGGAACAGGCGATTAATTAAAGGTCGCGAGGAGCGCATGCGATCGCAACGAAATCGATGACAAAAACGGCGATCCCTACATTCCGACCATGTACGGTACACGCTCTGGGCCTTATAAGGGAGCCCGCGTATATTTGCCCAGGGGAGCCGCTCTTGCCAGTCCAACAGTGCGCGCTCACTGTCTGTATACGCACGCGAGAAAAAGAAATGTAAAAGAAAGTCACAGCTCGCTGGAACGCGGATCGGGAAGACGGATATTTTCCTCGCCCAAGAAAGCTCGACAAACTTTCCGAGAGCTTGCTTGTTTTTCCAAAGCGTAAGGGGAGTTTGTTTTCGATACAATACGCGTCTCATTTTCACCGATCTCGAAACGTTACAAACATCATTACGCATCCAGAGTGTAAACGGTTATCTGTTTATCTTCAGCAATGACAATTTAGATGTAGACTTTTTCATTGACAAAAACTTTAAATGTGCAAATCACCTCTCCGTTTTCCATAGGCGTTTGTCTTGAATAGAAGCTGGTGCAAATAACTTCATCGTCTTGCTGGTAAGAAGGCTTTCCAAGTGTCGGTGGCATCGAATAGCGTGTCCAGCATTCTTCATCACTTGACGCGTAATACTGCCAAACCTGGTAATTGTTACCCTCGATCGACCTTTCCAAAATCCATGCGGCTGGTCTTGGCGAATTTGCAGCTTTCACGATAACGTATTCTATTTGGTACATCTGAAAGAGAAAAAAATGCAAAAATTTCTTATCGGTATACGAGAAACGTATTTACTTGTAACTTGGATTGAAAAAGTACATAAAACAAAGACTTATTAATTCATTATTTAGAAATTATAAAACAATTTACAAGGACTAAAAATAATGAGTTTTACACATTAAAAAAAATATTTCAGTTCAGTGTCGTCGAGTTTCGATCAACGAATAAAATATCTACGTGGAATAGAATAGAACTATAATTATTTATTTCCAACGCAAATTTATCACCGTACACTCTATAGTCATGAGTGTATTTCGAGATAAATTAGCAAGAAAGTTGATTTAGAGTTGAAGCAGGCCCTCATCCACGCATAGTCCTTCGCAAGCTGAGGCGAGCACACACGCGTGTGCCGCTGCTGCACTCGACGCTTCCATAAAGGGAGTGAAGCTCTCTCTCTCTCTCTGTCTTTCTCGCATCGTGAGAATCTCGGGCTACCGCCTTGCAGCTCGGGAGCTAAGTAGAGCGAGCGTAGTATACGCCGCGCGTGCAGGGGAGATCCCCGTCGTCGTCGTCGTCGTCGTCGTCGCGGCGATACGCTGGTGGTGGTCGTCTCTCTCACAACTTTCCTCTTTGTCCGGCACCTACACGTGCACGCGCCGGCCGGTCTTACTTTCCTTATTTCTGCTACCGAGCAGCGGCTTTATCTCCTTCAACGTCGCGCTCGCGTCCACCGTGAGCGAGCTTTTTAGCTTCCACGTACTGCAAACTCGCACTTCCCCCCTTCTCTCTCTCTCTCTCTCTCTCTCTCTCTCTCTCTCTCGTCCGGTTTGGAACTCTCGGCACCTCGTTTCTGATTTTATAAGCCTTTTAAGGGCTATCGTAGCTTCAACCTCTTCTCCGTCAGACGCGCGCCTTATAAACCGGGCTGCTTAGATTTACGCACTCTCGGCTTTTCATTACCCTGTCCGTGAGATGCGCGCTCGTGTGCCTCTCTCCGCCTCTCTCCGACCGACATGATTTTCAAAACGAAACTCTGTGGTCAAGCGACTGCCTTTCACAGCTGCGAGGCGCGAGCGTTAAAACTTTGTCGCAAGTAACAAGAGATTAGGAAAACAACAGTAACACTCTATATTTTCGCGACTGTGCTCTTCGCATATGCATGGCAGTTTATGAGCGAAAGCGCACTTTCGTTTCCCCTGCTGCTTATCAGACGAGACAAATACCTTCGGCTACAACTTGCACCCCCTTCCCTCAGCCCAGCCGACCGTCTTGTAGTAGCCGCAAAGGTCAAGGTAGCTTTTGCAGCAGATGCGTTTGTATTATAAATGCGTGTACGTGACCTGCAAGCAAGCAGTGTCTTCCCGATTCCTTTTGGGGATTAAGGCCGCGCCTGAAAGAAGATATCCGCTTTTGATACTAATACCGAGACGCGCTCGTGTTTTTTCTTTCTTCCGCTATACATATCGATTCTGATCTTCTCGCTCTCCTGGCGTATTGTGTTTCTCTTTGCTCTGATTTTTATTTCAATGTTTAGTGGAGATTGACTGAGCAATGCTATGTGATTACAAACTTGCTGCCTCAAGCGACGACGGAGGAGATACAATTGATGCGTATTTAAAAAAAAAAAAAACAAATAAATAAACAGCCGAGATGAAACATTGAAAATCTGAGCTGCTTACGTTAACCGTACACGTAAACGGCCTCGATGCAAAAATAATATCAATCAACAAACACGCATCTCGGGTTTACGCAAAAGGAACAGCTTCCATTGTATCAGGATCGGTTAACCAGTTTCGCCACTTTTATCTCTCGGTACTGCGGCTCTCTCCAATCTCTCTCCCTTTCTCTGTCGGGCATTTTTCGGGCGCCGCGTCTCTGATGGCTTTGCGCTGTTGCGAGATATATACGATTACGCCGCGCTCGCGCGCCAGGTATGACGCCGATCGTATGCGATAATGCAGGATGTTCCTCGAAGCTTGAAAAGGAAAGAAAAAAAAAGGAGAGAAGACCTCCGTGCGCCGCCATTCTTTTTAATTTCAATATCAGCGCGTGTATCTCGGTGAGATGCGCACACGTCCGTCATATCCACGTGCGCGCGCACTCGATCTTGCATTCCTGAGAATCGATTTTCGATGATGTAATAAATGGGCAAATAATCAAATGAGTGCTCGCGAGGATCGATGTATGTATTTTCTCCTCGCGAGAATATATTGAAGGATGAAAAAGTGAAGAGCCGATCGGTACACCCGAGTCAGCTGTCGATTCGGAGGCGAAATTGAATTCTGCTCACGGAGGGTCGGCTGGAAAGGTCTTAAAAGTGCTCGGTGATTCAATTTCACAGCCAATTTGGAAGGCTTCCCAATCGCGTTTAACACTTGTTTAATTTGTCGATTAGATAAGCCTCTCGTGCGAAGCCAGAGACGATGCGCCAAGTGCATCTGGCGCCGCGTCGAATCGGCATCAGGCGCGAGATAGCAACGAGGGAGAGCGAGGGCGCGGAAAGAAAACAGGACGATCCCCGTGGCGCGCAAAGCCGAGAGTATGCGATCGATCGGTCCAGCTCGGAGCCACCTACGAACGTATAGGTGGCACGTGGTAAGCCCGCGGCGGTGCTCGCGCTGCCGTTGAATTTGGTTAGCCGCCAAGCTGCCGCGTAATCGCTGATGTGACGATCGCGCGTTCCGCCGAGTCGTCCTCGCCTTACCCTCGTCGCGAGGAACGCCGGGAGGAAGTACTTTCCCAGGTTATTTTACGCCGCGCGCGCGGCTCGATGACTCATCCGTCGAGCCTTGCAAATCAAGCGAAGCGACAAGGCAGCCTCAATAGCGTAACTGCCTGTGCAGCTTAAGGTGAACGTATGTCTGTGAGAGGCGCGCGCGCTTTATCGGGGCGTCTGATTGCGAGAGTTTGCGAGCTGCAAGAGAAGAAGGGGAGCCGAGAGCACGTCGCCGGGCGCGGGTGCAGCAGCAGCTCGTTACCGGTATACCCTCGCAAAAGAATCGGCTTCATTATCCGCGAAAGTGCGCGAGTAAATCACGCCGCCGCTTAAAGGGGTAGAGAGGGGGGGGGGGGAATAAAAGAGGGAGGAGCAGCGCGAACGGACGTCGTGCTCTGCGTGCGCCTCGGGCATGGGTGGCCTCTAAGCGTCGCTTGATCTTCAATTTGCGATACTACACCGACCCGCTAGATGGGTACCGCGCCGGCAATGCATCTTACGTATTCAGATAAATACAAAAGCCTGCGAGCTCGAAATACTTGCGTTAAACCGCAGACATCGTTTCTCCTTATGAAATTCACGCAGCAGGCGCATTGACGGCTCCAAATTCTCGCCTTTCACGTGCACGTGCCGCGAGCCTTGTAGTCCAAGAGCTAGTCTCGAAAGGTGCACGAGAAAATAAATCATCGTGAAAAGTTCATGAATCGTCGATTAATGTACGTACGTTACGAAACTAAATTGTTGCCCGCGGAAGTGGGGGCGTTTGCAACTGGCGGCCCAGCAAACATGAATATATTTTATACTGCATTTACGCGAAAGACGTGCACTCTGTTTTTTGTCGTTTTGTTGCTACGGGAAAACCTCAAAGGTATGCATTGAGTGGTTTACGGATATGTATTTTATACGTAATATACATCACGTACGTCCTTAAGAACGTAGAGAAATTCCGCGCCGCGATGCGACAAGTGCAGTTCTTTTTTATAAAAAAAAACTATGCGAAAATGTGTACTGCATTCTGCGGATTTATTTTTTTGCGTTTTTTACGTTACAATAATAAGATTTTTAAACAGACAGAACAAATTCTCTTGATGCCATCAATAACCAAGTCTAATCTACGCAGATAGCCTCAAACTAACTACGTATATCATCCATTGCATCAATAACAAAAGTACTCGTGATTTTTCTTTTTCCGTGTCTAATTGTTTATCAGAAATTATTAAAACAAATTGAATTTTGAAAATTTGACAAGCTAATTACACTACAGGATTCAAAGTGAAAAAACAGGGGAAAAATTTATTCAGCATTTTTTCTAGTTATTAATGATTATAAATATCCTAAAGTTTTGTTACTTTAAAAAAATCAATTACATCAATTGGTTCTACAATAGGAGTCAATAACAAAACTTTTGAAAATTTCCAATTATTTATCACGATTTTACGTCAATAAAATGGCGTCAGATAAAAAGACGCTAAATAGATTTCTTTCATGTTTTTTCCTTTACTAGGATCCTTTACTGCAATTAGTTTTTCACTATTCTAAAATTTCTGGTAATTTATTTAAATAAATTTTTACATAGAATTAGAAATGTGCAAAAGAAAATGCGGATGCTTTTTTGATTGATGACACGGCTACTATAGTTAGTTTGAACTATCTGGTCTAGATATGACTTGGGTATTGCGACCATCTTCATTAATATTTACGTCAACTCACTCAAAGAACTTGTTCTACCATTTCAAAAATCCTAATAATATAATATGCAAAATGCAAGAAATAAAACCGCAGAATGCATTAAGTACATACTTTTGTATATTTTTTTTTTCTAGAGGGCATTTTTCACATTGCGGCGCGTCCTTTCTAGACAGTTCAAAGACGATTGCCCCGGTAGAAAATGTCTGTCTATGGATAAATGTGATATATATCGCGTATAAAATGCATATTCGTAAACCACTCAATTCATAGTTATAACGTTTTCCCGTTGCATAAAACAGTCATGTTACTCCTACTCGACCCATATATTTGACCCGTAAGCCATTTCTGCCAATGAACAAATCAATTAACTACAACGTAGATATTCGATAGGAATTGCAAAATGTATTACTTTGTCGTTTCTCGCTACAATTTCAAAATTCGCGGGCTTAGATTTTATTGTTCGATAAACTTTTATTTAAAAGAGTAAAACTAAGAATATTTATAAAACTTTATTTTCTCATTCTATTGAGACCAAATTTCTGGTATTATATTTTATTTTAGCCTAATGCTTCAATTTATATTGGTTAAGTTAGATGGGTTATCTCATACATTAAA